GGTTAATAATTTAAAAATATATTTGGTAAAGTACATAAATTTCGAAAAAATATTTTTATTCTACAATTTGTAGGATCAGAAATTAAAATTAATATTATTTACTAAGAAAACTCAAATACAAAAAAAATAAAATAACTGGCACAAAATAAACATTTCCGTTTTTTGTTATTACTCACTTTAATAGCTAAAGATTAAAGGCTAAAAAATTCACAAAATTTATTTTGAATAAAAATATTTAATTTTAATCAAATAATTAATTTTTCTTGAAAAATAAATTTTAATCAATTACTTCACAAAAACATTTTTTTTATATTCTCAATATTCTCTCATATACATATCATATTTACCCAGTTTTAAATTTTATTTTATTTTTTTTTCATTGTAAAACAATTGAAATTAGAAATTTAATTTATATTTATGACTTGCTAGCTTTTTTTAAACAGAAACGATTTTTAAAATAAATATTTTAGAGAACTCTAAAAAATTATTGAGAAAGTTAAAAACTTTAAACAGTCTCGGTAATCACAGCTTAGCTAAGGCAACAAATTCTCCCTTAGTTTAAAAAAAGAAATATTTTAGAGAATTGGATGATAAGAAATAACAAGAAAACAGGGAATAATTAATTAAAATATTTTTTTTTAAAAAACAGTTATTAAAAGAAAAAATTTAATTAACATGTTAATTAAAGCATATTTTCAAATTTAATATATGAATTTAAAGAGAGTTTTTTTAAAATTTAAATTTTAAAATTTAAACTTCAAATTAATTAACTATTAGTCGATATTTTTTGCTAAAACTAGAAATAAAAACTTATAAACCTAATAACTTAGGTAGTATACAACAGAGGTGGGTTGGAATTCCGATTTCCTAGTTCGGACTTTTGAGCCAGTTCCGATTTCAGGCTCTTCCGTTTTCCGACACCTATGACTGTTCCGACTCATTTCTAGTAAACAACAATAGTAATTGACATAAAATCTGATAGAAGCTGAGATATTTAAATTTCTTTAATTAACATATACTATTTTAAATTACTATTTTAATTATTTTAAATATCAAGTAACGTTCTTTTACAATTTCAATTTAATTAAATATCCTCCTTTTCAGAACATTCAGAAATTAATAAGGCTTCTTGGTTGGTTTTTTAACATGAGCATCAGCATTTATAGCAGGCACAAACACCATAGAGCAAGCAATCAAAAAAGCAACAAAAATTGCCATTAACTAAATAAATTTTTTTTGTTAATTTTTAAATTAAATTATTTACCTTCATTTTTAGTAGTAGAGAGTTATTAAAGTAGTTTTTAGTTAAAAGAGAGAGGAGAGAATGTTTTTGAATGATTTGTCACTAAAATTCAACAACTATTTATTCTATCCAATTTTCAATTTAATTTTCTTCCTTGTTTACGTGGCATACTTTTAAATATTTTTTCTTATTGTTAATATATTAATTAAACAATTGAATATCATTTATATTTATATTTCTCAAAAAATAAATTTACATCAATTTTATATTATTTTTAAAAAAATATCCAACACTTTAAAAATAAATTGTCGTCTTACTAATCTAAAATAATATTTTTTATTTTTTTAAATTGTTTCATTTTGATATTTAATATTTTTGAAATTCACATGAATTTTATTAAATAAACATTGAAAAATAAATAGGTATTTCCTTTAACGTGGCGATTTTTGCTTAGTAATTGTTCCGATTGTTATCTTTCCTATAATCATGACTGTAAAATATTTGTTGATCTAAATAGTGTTTATTAGAGAATTCAAGAAATTGATAAAATGTTGACAACACGATAATTATCACAAATATTGTGAAAATATTATGGAAAAATAAATATTTTTTTAATCAAGTATTCCACGTAAACAGGGAAGTTTCAATGAGCGAATCAAATCAAAAAAAGTTAGAGATCGAAAAAAGACTCATGTCAACTTTAACATTGATGATATTCAATTGTTTAATTAATATATTAACAATAAGAGAAAATATTTTAAATTATGCCACGTAAACAAGGAAGAAAATTAAATTGAAAATTGGATAGAATAAATAGTTGTTGAATTTTAGTGACAAATCATTCAAAAACATTCTCTCCTCTCTCTTTTAACTAAAAACTACTTTAATAACTCTCTACTACTAAAAATGAAGGTAAATAATTTAATTTAAAAATTAACAAAAAAATTTATTTAGTTAATGGCAATTTTTGTTGCTTTTTTGATTGCTTGCTCTATGGTGTTTGTGCCTGCTATAAATGCTGATGGTTATCCTAAAAAACCAACCAAGAAGCCGCCTCCTTATTAATTTCTGAGTGTTCTGAAAAGAGGGGATGTTTAATTAAATGGAGAAATTGTAAAAGTGTTAGTTGATGTAAATTAAAATATATGTTAATTAAATAAATATTAAATAAATAATTTTTATTTTTAAAAGAATTGTTTTCTAAGTCGAATGACACCAAAATTACCGTGATCGAACAAGTTTGGGCTGTGATATTGGGCTCGGAATGGTGTATTTTTGACTATTTCTAACCCAATATCTCAGCCCGGCATACCGATCCAGTATAATTTTGCTGTCCTTCGACTCAGCTCGACGAGCCTTTCGAATAATACACATGAATTTTGTCCATATACATGATTCTTAAACATATTTAATGTCGGGCCCATAACAGGTAAGTACCGAAGTGTCTCTAGTAAACACGAAAATTTTCTTTGCGTTTTAAAAAGAGGAAAAAAATTCTTAAATTTCCGATTGAGGTGATGGTAATGGGTAGGGCTAGGATTTTAGGCAAAATGCCTGTTTTTTTCCTAAATAGGCCTGATGCTGAAACGTCCAAATCAGGTGTTATTTTACTGAAATCTTCTTCCTAACTAATTTTATCGTTGCCTAAAATTGCCTATTTTGGCTTTTTCTGAAAAAGTGCCCTATTTTGCCTTTTTTCAGCCTATTTGCACATTTTTACTAAAATTTACGAATTTTTGGGCATTTTTTAAGAAATTTGTTGACTAAAAATTAGTTTTGGTAGAATTTATTTCACAAAAAAATTTTTTTTGAAAGAATTTTTTTGTCAAAAAATTTTCATCTTAAAAATTTATTCAAATTATTTTCGGAAGCAAAATAATTAATATAAATTAATTTATTGCTTAAATTCAACCATTTTTATAGATTTTAGTCGATATTTTTGCAGATAAAGCTCAAATTTTAAGAAATTTTGTATATTTTGCTTGCCTATTTTGCCTTTTTTTTCGGAATTAGGTGCCTATTTTGGCAGTTTTTTAGTGCCTATATAGGCGCCTATTTTTGACTTTTTAGTGCCTAAAAATCCTAGCCCTAGTAATGGGGAATAACGGCCTGTTATCCATCACGGTGCGTTGCCTCACTATTAAAAATTAAATCAAGATTGGGGGTATTTACTAGAGATCGGACCGTACCGTACTACGGCCGTATTTTTCGGTATTTATCGGTATTCCGTATCGGTAGTACGGTACGGAATACGGTACGGAAAAATTTAAAAAAAAAATACGGTACGGAATACGGTACCGATGAAAAATATCGGTATTTGTCGGTATTTCTCGGTATTTATCGGTATTACAGTCGGTAATACGGTACGGAATACGGTACGGCAACATTTTGAATTTCATCGGTATTTTTCGGTATCGGTATTTTTCGGTATTACGGTACGGAATACGGTACGGAACAAAATTCCGATCTCTAGTATTTACAGTTTATTCTAAACTAAAAAATAAAATGAAAGAAAATTTACAATGTTTGAAAATAAAATAAAACGTACAAGGGAGATATATACATAAAGAAATTATACATAAAGAAATTTAAATAAGGATTTTTTGGGTTTTTAATTTTTAAATTTTTTTTGGTTTTTTCTTGTTTTGTTGATAAATATGGGAATTTACATAGTAAATATAAAATAGTTTATATACAATGAATTGAGATTTAACAGAAACGAGTACTCGCGAGAAATGCAAGTACGTAAAACTAGCTAAATAATCGTTCGGGTACTCGATCTGTCTGATCCTTAATTTAGATGATATGTTTGTGTATTAATATGATTTGATTTTCATAGTTATCTTGCCTTGAAAGTTATTATTCAACCATTTTAGGAGTCGTAGGAATCTATGGGAACTAAACTGTGAATATTAGAGGTCCGAGATTCTTGGTCTTGATACCATGAATTTTCATCGGCCTGAGCCTGATTCTGATGTTTGGGTTCGAATGATTGAAAATTTTCGCTCTTGGAGACAATGATAACATATTTTGAAGAGAATTACATGAAATCATGCCAATTATATACACAAACATATAAAATTGAAAAATAAATTTGGAAGAACTTATATGTATTTGGAAATGTTTTGTTAAATTAAAGGGGTTTCTCGTAAAACACATTGCTCACCTATCTCAATTTTCAAAAATACGCTCATGAATTTTCTCTTGAATAACTTTGTCAGCTTCACTTTTAATGTTAGTTTCAAATATTTCAGCCAATATTTGAGGTTTTTGTTTATCAAAATCGTCGCAATTGAAGGCATTGAAGATTTTTTTCATGCGTGTATAGGCTAATAAAACTTTTCCGGCATTGATACGGATTAAAACCTTGAATGAATTTTTTAATTAAATTTGCTTAAAATTAATGGGTTTGAATTCTGACAAGGAATTAAAATTAACAAGATTTGGCAGATTAACTCGCTGAATTATATAAGATTTGACATGAATATATGTAAAAAATACATATAAGCTCATGCTTAAGGTATTATTGAAAAAGAAATTTGATCATTGGCGCTATATCTAAAATCTTTCCACTTTTTGCTTTAATTTTCTGTACAATGTTTTTGTTTTTTGTTCCATGGGAAAATTTATAGGTTTGTGTTTCGATCCGCTAAGAAAGGAGACCGATTAAATCACTATGAGCTAGTGATGGCGAGACTCGGTTTGGTCTCGGTCTCGTTGTTGATTCCCAGTCTCGGTCTCGACTCTCGGGGTTTTCTTAACTCCCAACTATCACTACGATGATTCTGATTGAATTTTTATAAACAACGAGGAAAATCAAACTGACCGATGATTTTTCGAGCATATTATGCGTAGTTTTATCACGAACTTGATGTATTGTATCGTGAAATTTCTTCTCCTCTATCAGCCATTCCTTTGGTAATTCCATATTTTTCTCTATATTATCAGCAAGTGAACTCAAAAGAACGTGTTCATACTTGTAGTATTCTTTGTGTTCAAAAAATTTTGAAATATCTTTAAGAGCCTTTTTCAGCCAAAATTCAGCAATAATCCACGTCTCAAAGCGTTCATTTAAATGAACAAAACGACTTTTCAGCTCTTTATCTAAATTTATTTCTCCATCTTGATGTTTTCCGAATATTTCAATTTCCTCCTGGTTCATCTATAAATTTAATTATAAAAAAGCCGCGAGACTTGTATATGTATTAAGAAATTTATTGAATAAAAACGGTAGATAAATTTGTAATTACAAGACTAAGGACACAACTCTAATTTAAATACCTTGTAATTTTGGCTTTCTAAAACATCCAAATCACGAGTTTTGTCAAAATTAACAAGCATTTTGTTCAAATTTTTGTAAACTTTCTTACTTGCATTTAACAAAGAATTGTGAAGATCCCACAGTTTGTAAACTGGCTGAATTTTAAGGGTTTTAATATATTTTATTAGAAATTAAATTAGGAGAGTGTTAAGATAAAATTTTGACGTGTTAAATATAGGTAAACTTGTGATTTAGACTCCAATTAAATTAGGAGTCTATTACTTTGGAATTACTTTGGAGAGTTCTCTGAATTTAAGATTCAATTGTGGGCCTATCTTTAACAAATTTCAGTGTTGCTTAGACCTAGAATTGAGCTGCCCCGTGACTAATAAATTTCTTCTCCTAGAATTTTATATTCCCTCTCGATGAGTCGGAGCTACATAACATGGTTTCAATTTAATTCACTTTATATTCTACCAATGGTGGATTAAAGTCTATGAGAAAGAATGTTTTAAAATATAAATTTAAAAAAATCTGACAAATGGAGTTTTTTTCATTGTAGTATTTAAAACACCAGAAGATAATTCGTTTATTTGCTCATAAAATTCCTTCAAGTCACCAATTAATATTTCAATTTCCATTTTTTCATTATGTTTCAAATTAAAAAGTAAAGGTACTTTCTTCTTATTCTTTTTCCACAAAACTTTTATCATAATATTTCTAATATCATTATTATTTTTTAATTTCGAAATTTTGTCATCAAGAATTCGGGATGGAGTAAGTTCCTTGTCTAAACCGCCATAATCGTTTTCAATTAATTCTTTAATGTCTTCAAGTTCGATTGTTATTCGCTAGGTTTAAAAATTTTAAGAAATACTTTTATAAAGCTAAAGTTAATTTTAATAATTTATTTTATTCTCTTTAGCTTTATTTTTGGGGATGAGTCTATGAAAGAAATTTAAAAAAATTTGCATTTTTCGACCGCCAAATGAACACTTTGTGTTCACTTTGTGTTCATTCGACCGCGCCAAATCTGAGACCCCGCCTACGTAGAGGAGCTAACAGAAACGTTTATTGCACAAAGAAATACAATGAAGGTGAAGGTTGTGGTAGAAGAACTAAAACTGGGAGCGAGAACTAACTATTGGCTGGGCTTTTATACTAAACACTTTAAGGGCTGACGCCCATACACAACACTTTGGATTTTCGAATTCTAAGATTAGGGAAAATCTACTAAAATTCCACCAAACATTTCCACCAATTCCACCAACTATATTATTACCAAGAAAAAATAAAAAAAAAATTAGAGACAATCTCGTTTCAATGTAGAGATCTCGATACCCTTTTAACTTCAAATAATTTTTAGCTATATCTTAAGAGAACTGATTCATTCAGTTTATCAAAGGATTTCTGTAAAGTATATTCTCAATTTATTCAAAAAAATCATGTACCTTTCCAACAACTGTTTTAAATCCCCTTTCAGTCTTTTCAAAATCGAGAACGTGTTTTGTCCAATAATTTTCTATTTTCAAATTCACATTTTTTTCAATTATTTCGTTATACAAATTGTGAAGATGTTTAATTTCCTTTATTTGGTTATATGAAATTTTATATCTATCCAGCATATATTCTCTAATTAATTCTTCAGTCTTTTCAAATTCCTCTCCCATTTTCTTGAATGAATTATACTCAAGTCCAACAACAAATTCTGTAAAAATTTGTTTCAAAACGTTGTTAACCGTTTTTCGAAGCTTTAAAAGATGTTTGTAGAGAGGTGAATCCTCATCCTTTTTAGGACTTTGTTGGCTGTGTTCAACAATACTTTGTTCTAAAATTTATAAAAAAATTTTTTGTAGATATCAATTCATATTATATTATTAAGGAAATAGGTATAACCTTCTTAAAAAGGATTACGACTCGCATAATTATCGTAAGGCGGAAAACTTTCCCAGAAAAAATACATAGGTAGGTATAATTAGGTATAATTATACATACATATGTATATTCACCGATCTAATAATTTATACACATATTTCAAAGTTTCATTCTTATGCATTTCCCTATGGAATCGATCAAAACTTCGAGCTTGGCTAAATTATGATAGAGTTATATCCCATACTCGAGTCTTATAAAATTCTCCAAACTAAAAGGTCCTTGGCTGCTCGCTTATTCCTATATGAATAAACAAATATCGTGTCATTTTGTACACTTAATCCTTAAATTAATTTTTACCATCGTGTTGAGTATGTTGTGATGAAACAATTTGTGCTGATTGTTCTGATGGTTGATTAAATGTAAGGTCACCTGAAATTATTTAAACAATTTAAATATTCAAAAATATTCAAAATTTAAAGGATTAATCTAACCAAATAATTCCTGAAAAGTTTTGTCCTCCCATTCTTGCGCGAAATTACTCTTTTCTTGTTTCTGTGACGTTTCCAAAGAAATTAGGGGCAATTCAGAATTCTTGTTTTCAACATTTTTATCGGAAATATTTTTATTAATATCTTCCAATTCTAATATATTCTAAAAATGATCGAAAAAAAAGTTAATCTCAAAAGTTAATTAAAAAATAAATTTTTGTACAAGAAGGTACAAAATATTTTTTTTTAATTAAAAAAATAAAAACGAACATCCTCTTCCACTTTATCAAACCAAAACAATTTAAGTTTATCAAATAATTCCTTGTAGACAATTGCTTCTCCTGGCAATTTTTCAGTAAATTGCTTCAATACATTACCCAAAATTAATTTAGGGTTAATTTCAATGTATTTATCTAAAAACGGATTTGTTGTATTTACTTCATATGTAAAATTCAAGGTTATTTCCAAAATTGGAAAATTTAAATTCTCTTGTTTACGAATAAATTTGTCCAAAATTGAAATAAATTTCTCAACTTTTTTTATGGGTAAAAAATTCTCCTGTGTGATTTTTAATTTTTCTTCTGGAGAAATATCTTTAAGAATTATTAGAAATCATTTTAATTTAAATTTAAAAATGTGAAATATAAAAATAAAATTATTTGAAAAATTTTTCTAACGTTATCTTAATACCTCTTCAGTTTTTCAAATTCCCTACCGATTTACTCAATTAATTACCATCCCTCAAATATTTATCCCCTCCCTATTAACTAATACCTTCTCTAGCTAGAAGTTTAAATAATAATTTTAAAAAATGTTGAAAAATTCTCTAGAAAATATTTTTTCTAGAGAATTTACTGAAAAATTAACTACAACTCTTTTGTCTACATGTTTCTAAAATTTCAATAAAGGATAGAAAAATTATTTGAAACAACAAATAAAAATATTTATTTGAATTATTAAAGGACCTTTAAATTTGTCGACTTTTTCTAGCATTTTGCTGAATTTTTTTTCAGTTTTTTCGATTAATTCTATTTGTTTATGAACCAAATTGTTTGGATTTGAATGATGTTGTTGATGATGAGGGTTGATGTGGGGAGGAAACATTCCATAGGAATGTTTCAGCAAAAAGAAATTTAATGCCAATAATGGCAGAATTTTGTTGAATGATAAATTAATTATCATTCTTATTTAAGGAAAAAAAGTTTTCCTTAAATAAAAATATTTAAAATTAAAATTATAACAATTTAAAATTATTTTAAAGGAAGTTGGACTAAATAATGCTTAAAATAGTGTTTGGCTCCGTTTTTGAATTATCGAGGTATTACCAATTTCGAAATAAAATTTTGAAAATTTCGGAGTTTAAAAATTAAAAAAAATTTTTTAATAAATTAAAATGTGGTTTCTCCATTTTTTCATGCCATTTTATGCTAAGCATTAAAGAGGAGGAGCTTTCGCAGAGTTGCGTCGTAATTACGAATTACGGCGTTTTTTAAATTACGAATTACGATTCCGAAATTTTTAAAATTACGATTACGAAATTTTTTTTCGTAATTCGTAACTCAAAAGACGCCTTAATTCGTAACTCAAAAGACGCCTTAATTCGTAACTCAAAAGACGCCTTAATTCGTAACTCAAAAGACGCCTTAATTCGTAACTCAAAAGACGCCTTAATTCGTAACTCAAAAGACGCCTTAATTCGTAACTCAAAAGACGCCTTAATTCGTAATCGCAATTCATAATTACGACGCAACTCTGATTCGGATCTTCACCTCAAAAATAAGCTTGGCCCCTCTTATAGTTTTACGATTTTCAGGTCTCCGTATCACGGTTCACAAGCATTTCCGCTTGTAAGGAGTGGTCGACTGAGTTAACTGAAACAAATAGATGGTAATGTTTCGAGTCTAATCCAAAGATAAATGATATATTTTTTGAAATTTTAGGAACTTCAACATAAATTAGAAAAAAACAATAGGCTGCTAGAAATAGGAACAATATGGATTTAAACATTTTGATAAGAGATTTAAAAAATATTTATAAAAATAAAACTAAATACAAACGTAAATGAGTAAATAAAATATATCTAAAATTTTTATTTTGTTTCAGTTATTATCATAGTTTCTTGTACAAAAACATCAGTTGAATCTAATATATCTGTAAATTAAAAAAATAAATTTTCGAAAGTTAAAAATTTGTTGGGAGAATAAGTTTGTCTGAAAGGATTTTCTGAATATTCAAAATAAATTTTATAGGTTTCTTAGAAATATTTTAACAATCAGCTATTTTGTTATAATATTTACGGTGTCCTCCATTATTTCAAAAATGTTATCAAGTTATTTTGACTGATATAAGAGGAAAATTACAGAAATTTAATTATAAATTCTTTAGCCGCTATTGTTTTTAATTAACGTAATGTTTCAAGGATTATGCACTAAAAATTTAATTGCCGATTTTTAAAATCGAGACGGCAATTTTTATACAAATGTGGATTTATAAAAATTCGGTTTTATTATTATAAAAATTTTTATAAAAATAATAAGACCGAAATTTATGTTAATAAGGGAAAATTAAATATAAAAAAGTTAGGTTAAGAAGCAAATTGCGAAAAAAAGCAAAGCAAACAAAAACTTATAAACTGTAAAATATACAAGGATTTATGTTGTTAAAAGGAAAATATACATATTTTTGGGGAAAATTTTTTATCCAAATTTTTAGGGAGAAATTTTTGTAGGAGAAAATTCGTCAAAAACAACAAACAAAAATTAAATAAAAAATAATAAAACCGAAATATTTATGTTGAATTGTTTTTATTTCCAAAATTTTTATTATTTTCCAAAATTTCCTCTGGAGATGTTTTCGAATTTTCTTTAATTTTGTTGTTATTTATTTCTTTATTTATTTCATCTTTTTTTATATTATTATTTAATTCTTCCTCTTTTCTTTTATTTATATCACAAAAAATACCGGTACTATTTAGTACATTATTATTTGTAAAAATTAGAGAATCATCAGAATTAACAGAAGTATTCGAACATTGACTACTCCAAGAGAAAACACTCGCTTTATGTTGTTGTTGAATTTGTATTATATTAGATATTGCTGTTTTTGGACGTGGGACATCATCAATACCTTTTAGAGAGGGATTTGATATAATTAATAGGACCAAAATTTAAGGTTAAACTAGGCAAGAATTTTGTGTTTTAGTTAAAGATTAAATGAAATATAGGTAGTAATTCTCTCATTTTAAAAGGACTAAACACGTTCATTAGTAGCAGAGGTGGGTCGGAATTCCGATTTCCGACGTTTTTTTTACTTCCTATTTCCGAAAAATTTTGATTTCCGATTTCCGAGTTCCGACTTTTGAGCCAGTTCCGATTTCCGACTCTTCCGAGTTCCGACACCTCTGACTGTTCCGACCCACCTCTGGTTAGTAGAAAGGACCTATTTTAGAGAATTACAATAAAATTTCTCTAGAAAATCCCCAAAATCATTAGTATAAAAATAAAAACTAGTATTAAATTGAAAAAACATCGTCAAAAAAAAATAAAAATCACCCAAAATCTAGTCTAAACAAATTCCAAAACCTCTTTTCTCCGAAACTTCAAAATAAATAAATTACCTAATCCTCTATTATCTAAACTATCAGCCTCTCTTTGAGCTCTCATTTCTTGCCCAGCAGTTGCTGGACTACCCCAAGATGCAACCGAAGCTTTTTGTCGATTAATTAAAACAACTCCAAGAAGGGAAGCATCACTTTTACGAGAGGTTCTGCTACGGGCAGAAGGAGGGGGAGATTCGTTTAGTTCTTGTTGTTGATTAGTTGAATTATAATTTATTCTTGGGGAAGCAGTTGAACATGAAAGAGCTGCTCGTAAAACTAAAAAGAACGAAAAAACAAAAGCGGACAAGAAAAAATTAAAGCAAAAACGGGTAAAAAATTGAGGGTTAAAAATTAGCTTTTTAAAAATAAATTCAAAGCTGTTAGCAAAATGGGTAAAAACAGCAAAAATTGTAAAAAACAAAAATAAATTTCAAAAAGGGATAAATAATTTTAACAAAAAATGTTTTACCTGTCTTTGAATTGCTGACAGAATCCGCAAAGAAACCACTCTCATCTTCAGCAAGCTTAATAAAAAATTTTCAGATTTTTAATAAAAGATTTTTCTCTACTAATTATCGCCCTCTAAAATTGCGAGGCCTCAATGAAATATCGAAGAAATAATTATACGGGGTAATTATTCGATAAGATATGGAGAAAAATAATATTTTAAAAGTCAAATAAATGCTCCTAGAAAACCAATCGTAGACAAAAATTAACACAAAGAATCCAAGGGTAAATCTCTTAACTTTATCTTATTAAATTAGATAATATCCTCTACATTTAATAGAGGATTAAACAGATAAATCTCTGTACTAGTAGACAAATAATATTCTATTAAATTACATGAAAAAACATACAGGTGGATTAATTTGTGATTGAATAGAAGACTGTTTTTGTCTAAATTGTTGAGAATACTTTAATTGATCAGAATCATGTCTGTCCACAGAGCCAGCTGCAGCAGAATCTTCAGAGCCGACAGATGACTGTGAAGACAATTTACGCGGTTTTACCATGAAACCAGAGGATGCTGAGGGTCTCTGATCTCCATTTCTGTTAATTCACAATAATTAATTTCTATTCATATATAATATTTTTGGCTACCTTTGTGAACTTTGGAGAACAGTCGAAAAATGTTCGAATAATCGACGGAATCTTCGAAGAGGTCCTAAAAACAATATTGAAAATAAGGTGTCAGAGAAATCTACCGGAAATCAAAGTAAACTGAACAACATAAAAATCAGTTATTTCAGAACAATTAATCGAGTTTTGAGAGTCTCTTCGTTGATTTGGAGGTGTTAGAATATCCACTAAAATAATTAATTTTCCACTTTAAATTACTTTCCTTCGTAAAAACCTTGAAATTTTACACCCCTAGAAAATCCTAAATAAGGCAAACGTTTGTATTCAACTCTAAACGAATTTTGGCCGACAACAGAATGGCTAAGTTCGTGAATCTAAGAAATTAAAAAAAAATTTTGGAAAAAGAAAATTTTTTAAAAAATATTACTGTTAAAAATAGCCGTATTAATTCAGCTTTAATTTCTGGCAAAGTTTTGTTTTGAACAGGAATACAGGGAGTATCGTCTCTATCTGCTCCACTCATCGATAATGAACCGAAAAATGATTTTTTGACGAGACTAAAATTGAAAATTATTTTTTTAAATAAAATTTTAATTTTTGCAAGACCTATACCTTAGAGAATATTTCAAAGAATGAGTTAGTTTTGCTATTATAGACGGAAGGAAGGGGCATACCAATAAAAAATCCTGAAATCACTAGTATAATTTGATGCATCTCGTCGAGGGAATGCGGGATTCGAAAATTTTAAACGTATTTACAACTCAAGGGCCATTGGACACTCCAACTTGATGAGCTTCTAAACGAGTGCAGTTTATGAAAGTGTGCCTCCATAGAGAGGGTTAACTTATTAGAATAGTCCTTATTTCAACTTCAAAAATAATCCTTTAAATTCTCCTTACTCAGATGTTGAGTCAGACAAATTTGTTGAAGAAACACCTCCATTGCATTCTGTATCAGATTCATTACTACCAGCATTATATCCATTATTTGTATTATTACTACTTCCTCCAACAGATTTTCTGTGAAAACGAGGAGTTCCCAAAATGGAGTTTTTAATTGTTGTTGAAATTTTAGAGTGCCAGGGTCCTGATGGGCCAATAATTGAAGAATTTGAAGATGAGGAAACAGCAGTAATGGAATTATTTGAGGCATTCATTGATGGAGAATTCATCAAAACAATACCCGAAGAGGAGGCAATGGAATTAGAAGAAGAAGCTGCTGAAGAAGCAACGGCTGTTGGGGTAGTTGTTGTTGTAACAACAACACCTTTACAAATTAAATAAACATGGGAATATCTCAAAAATTCAACTCAGATATGGGCAAAATATTTAGAATTAAAGGGATATTACGGGGCTACGAGCGGGTCTATATTATGGGGCTATTACGGTGAATTACGGGGCTATATACAAGGGCAGAGTTGCCAGTGATACCAGGGCAGAATTCTCACACCTATATCTACTAGATATTCACCCCCCCTCCATTTGTTAATAATCTTGTCAATTCTTGTATTCTTCACCTGTATTTGTAGTTGTAATAGGCACTCTTGGTTTATTTGCCGGCAACAACAATGGGGGAATATTTGTACCATTCGACTTATTCGATTGTTGTGTTTGTATTTCTTGTTTGGCACTCTGTTCGTCTCTTCTAGAGGCTCTTTGAACAATTATAGGATTAATGGGTTGTGTAAAATAATGATGGTGATTTTGTTGACGACTTTGTTGATAATTTGAATTATTTGAATTTCGGGAATGATTGCTTCCAAGGGAGATTCGATGCTTTCCAGAGGAAAGAGAAAGTAATGCTTCTTCTACTTTTTGGCCTAAAATCAAGGAAAAGCTTTTTTTAATATAGAAAAAGCCCACTTGTTGTAAAAGCATTTCCTCTAGCTGATTGTGGGTACAAGGAACGTGAGGAATGTTGTGGGGAGTCCTCAGGTGATCCACCCAAAGAGGATTGTCTAAGGCGATATCTTAAAAGAGTATGAAAGTTTATACGAAAGGTCCTATTTTTCGTCGATTTACCTATTCTTTCTTGGATTCATTGGTGACCCGTCAGATATTCTAGAAGGAGGCAATCTAGGCTTGCTTGTATCAACCCGTTTTCGAGGCGGATCGACAATATTATCAAAAGTAGAATTTCGAAGGACAGATTCAGGTTCTTCCTCCTTTGCAGGTCGCCGCCTTTTTCGGTCAAGTAAAAGAAAATAAACCTTCAAAAAATTTTTGAAAATTAAAAAAATTATCAAAACAAACAATTTTTTCTGTATTGTGTTTTGTAGAAAGCAATTCGGCTACTAATTTCTCTTTATCTTTGAAACAACCCAAATTGTTCATATGTCTGGAAAACAATTTTTTTGAAGATTAGGTATATATTAGGATGTGATTAGAGACTCAAATTAATGATCAATTGAGACCAATATATCAAAAAATCTTTATCTCAATAACCAAGATTTTTGAATAAGTGTCTCGGTCTGACTTTTATTTAAGAGTTAATGGCATTGAGTTTGTTTGAATTAGAGACCGGGGGACTTGAAGTGTCGTACGAGAATCGAGCTCTCGAAAAAATCTCGATAACCGAGAGCTTATCCAGGTCCGATCTCTAGTTTGAATGTAGTAACTAGAGTAAGCATATGCCGTATTCCTACTAATAGATGCCTCTCTAGTTGAAACTCATTTTATCGAATGACACTTTTCACAGAAATACGATAACTTTAATTTGTCATGGTTCAGATCTCATGATAAGACATTGTTAAAACATTAAAAACTGACCGAAAAACGTCAGGATCAATGCTATCTTCATTAGGAATTACATGTGTCTGTGAAAAGAACAAAAATGTAAAAAAATTTTGCTAAAAATTAGGCAACCTCAACAACTTGAGCCATAGGCACTTCAAGTTCTAATTCACCCTTATTTGGACCTATTACCCTTAAAATACAAGAAATTAGTTAATTAATTTTTTAACAAAAACCAAGGATGTTTAAACACATCTTGTAAAGAAATTCTTTTTGTTGGATTAACCTCTACCATTGAGCGTAGAAGACCTTGGCAGTCAGAAGGAACAAAATGGGGAATGTGGAAACTTCCTTTTTTTACTTTTTCCAATAAATTTCGAAGATTATCATCCTTTAAATCAAAAATAAATTTTATTTAAAGAACTAAACAAACATCAAAAGGCAAAGCCCCAACAAGTAATGCATAAAGAATTACCTTTTTAAATTATTTTAAAAATTTACTAATTTAATTATTTATTTACCCCACAACTCCAAACATCTGCTTTTCTTCCATCATATTTTTCACCCTAAATTATTTTTGAATAATTTAACTTGAACTTAATCTCTCTATAATATTTTGTGACAACACTAACTTTAAAAATCATTTAAATTGATTCCATAACATAGGTTAATTTATCTCCCCCTCTATTAGAAGGTGACAAGAAAGTAATATGGCACACTTTTTATGCCATAACTTAATTCCAATTAGGAATAATAAGATTAAACAAAGCTTATATGATAGAGAATTAAACAAGGAACAGATATAATTAGAATTTCCTATGTGTATAGGAATTTTTAAGTAACAGTGATTCTTAATTATTCTAAATAAAAATATAATTGTAATTAATTCCAACCATCCAAATACTATTAACCGAACCGGAACCGAAAAAACTGATAATCGAAGCTAGGGGAACCTGTTAATAACCGGTCCAACCAACTTTCTAATAAAGGAGAACAAATTATTTATCACAAAAAAGGATTCTTAATAATTCATTAGGTTTTCATTAGGTTTGAACGAAACTTGCCCTAATAACTTCTGGACAAGCATAATGTGGAGAACCTTTAAATTAATAAAAAATATATTTTTGATATAAAAATATATTAATTTATCTTTACCACAACTAGTTTCAAGCATTGAACCCTCAACTTGAAGAGATGCCATTCCAAAATCGGCAATCTTCAAAAAATAGATTTTTAATTTAAAAACTTTAAAAAAACTTTAATGTTATTCCTCTCATCGAGTAATAAATTTTCTGGTTTTAAATCACGGTGGCTTAAAATTAAAATATTTCTAAATTTTGGGTTATCTTTAAACAAACCAAATATTATGTGCATGACAAAAATCTAGAGCAGAAATTATTTGCCTAAAAAATTTTCGAGCTTCTTTTGCCATTAGACGACCTTTCCTCACTAGAAAATATGAAAAATAAAAGTTATCAGCACAGTTAAACTCTCTCGTTTTCAGAATTTTGGTTACCATGAAATAATAATTCTTTTTCTTTAATCCCAATTTTTACAGCAAAATATGCATTGTTAAGATTTTTGTTTTAAAGAGAATTAATACAGTTATTATACTTCCTTAACTCCTCTCCTCAACTCTTCTACACTTCCATAACTCCTCAACTTTCTATTTTACCAGTTCAAAGCGGCGATTAATACAACAAAACAAATTTTCGTTAGATTTTTAGTTATCAAAATAATTTATTTAAATTTTTGAAATTACCCAAATAATCAAACAATTCTCCACCAGATACATGTTCTAGAAGTAAATACAAATATTTTCTATTTTCATAAACATCATATACTAAAAAAATTATTCAAAAGTATATTTGTAAAATAATTACATTGTAAAATATGCGGGTGTTCTATTAGCCTCATAATGGCAATTTCACGTTCCACCTAATTAATTAACAAAATCTACTTAATAAATCCAAAAAGAACCTTTTGAAGGACAGATTCATTCAATTTTTCTTTGTTTACAATTTTTACGGCAATCTTTTTACCCGTTACACAATGAGTTCCAGTCTTTACAAGACCTTTAATTTAATTAAATTCATTTTTAATTATTTATTGTTTATTCTACCAGTCTGGCCTTTGCCCAATGTTTTTTCGAGTCGATATGCGCCAACCCATTGTATCTGTAGAAATTATGAATTTAAGAATTTTAAAAATTCAAAGATAGGTGAATTTTATTTCGCATAACTATTCCTCAAATATTAATTTTGAATTTATTCAGCAGAAGAATGTAATTCCAAATAGTATTTCCAAATAATAATGAAACGAACTTTTTTCAAGAAAAGTTAGGGAATTTAATTTTAAGGTGAGTTACCGTATACATATACTAGAGATCAGACCTAGACAAGATTTCGTTCAAAAAGTTATCTGGATGAGATTTTAGAGATCTGATTTCAATCCTCTTCAAGTCCGATCCCTAATACCTACAGCTGCAATCTAAAAGATTTTTTTGAACTCGTTCGTAGGGTTATTAAAAAATCGTTTGTAGTTTTTATGAACTCGTTTGTATAACTCAGACATTCGTATAAACCTGATTATTTAACGTAGATGTCATTAAAGCATTGGATGTATTATTGAGCAATTTTTGTTGTTGACTAGTATTGTTTGTTTTATTTGTTGTCATTGTAGTTGAAGCAGGGGATTGCTGGGGTTTTGTTGGGGAGTCAGTGTTGCTATTTGAATTATTAGAATTATTGCCTGTATTCATAGCTTGTACCAACTCCTGATTAACTGCTTTAAGTTTCTCGTTCAAATCATCTTTAAAATAGGATTGTTATTAAACAGAATCAACACAAAATTATATCAACAATAATAACACTAGAAAAAATGATAATAGGAGGGAAAGTCGTTGAATTTCTTCAAAGAGAATTCAAAGTTTCTCTCATTTCCTATTCAATACTTGGATATGTCTCAGTCAAAACATGAGTGAAATAGAGCTAATAATGTATAATTTACATTAAATTTTGGAATAATACTCTCGATTTTATCGAGAGTATTATTCCTTCCGCTAGTTGAAGCGAATAGACTCCTAGACTTTATTAAAACTTGAGGTATTATGTAATATAAAGAATTCTCTAAACTTTTGAAAATTTAGAAATAAACCCTAAAAATATTTCTTTATGAATTTCTTGTCTAATTAAAATTAAATTTATTAGCAGATCAACAAAAGCATTACCAATCACGTCCTTTATGAATACAAACATACAATAGCAAGCAGATAAAAATTATAATCTTTCTAAGAATATATACTAATTAAAAGAGATATGCTGAAAGCTTTCTAAAATCAAAAAATTATTAAAATACTGGCAATATTTTGGTAATAGTTTGGATGAGACCCCCTTTTTTCTTTCTAATTTCTCATTTTTCTCCTTTTATGGCATTTTACATATACCGTAAATCTTCTAACTGAAGCACAGTGCTTCTATTTTTTGAACCAGTCGTAAGGGTTGCTCTATTAGAGACGAGCTTCTATTAGAAAATTTCTATTATTCGAAAGAGCCCTTCGAGATCTCATCCAAACTATTATCCAAAACATCTAATATTCTAAATAGTACATTTCAAAAACAAATACAACTTTCAAGAAAATTCAAAAATCAAAAAAGCTTTTCATTTCCACATGCTTGAGGGTTTCATGGTTACTTTTAGCAAAATACTACCAATACCAAAAATAAATGAACAGGGAATGGATGACAATAGTAGGGATATTATTAGAATATTCAAATAAATTATGCACAAATATGGACACATGCAATTTTTAGTATCTAGGCAAACTAAAAAAGGAAAACATGGGTATGGTCACGATTCAAAAGTAATTTAGGTTTTCCTCAGAAAATTAGTAACCAAAAATGTTCATAAAAAATTAGCCTTTTTTGACTTTTAACCTATTTATTATCAAAAACTAAAAATTAAGAAAAGAATAGATTTTTTAAGAATATTTCTAGTATTATAACAATACAAATATTTTTATTTTTGTTTGCTTTCCCTCAGAAACAGGAAGTATTAGATATATTGCAACAAGGAAGGAACATGGGAAATTTTAAGTCTAGTAAGTGATTACTCTTGGCAAACAGTTAGTTTTGACAAATTGCCGGGTTGTAAGGAGTTAAAATTTTCCCGACGGGAGACATCAACACTAACATTCAATAAAATATGGGGAAGCAAAACAGCCAATATCTCAAAGAGGCAAAGTCTTTTTTCTTTCTCGCTATATTTAGTTATTGCCAGTGAGCAGCTAAGCAAAAGCCAGCCGAGAAAGCCCAAAGAAGGAGAGCGAGTCTTGTATATCTTAAGCAAGGTTTATCTTCGTCCCACGGCTTCAGCCCAGCTGGATACCCTCTCATTTTCCAATATTCTCTCTCCTCGTTTCTTGTTTTTCTTATTTTTTTAAACCACTCTCTAAATTTTTTATCCTTCTCTTATTTCTTTTTTTGTTCTTTAAACATCATTGACTATTGTAATCGCGCTTATGGCCATGACTGTTTAAGGCAAAAGCGTTGCAATGATGTAAAAATGTGTTGGGGAGAACGGAGAATATATATGCCATGCAATCCTTATGAAATAAAAAAAGGCAGTCTAACAACAATAGTCGAGTTTTGTGCCGAGTTTTCTTAGCATTTATCGAGTGAAATAACAAGGAAAGGAAATTGAGGAAGAAATAAGATAAGGAAAAAATAGAGGGAGGAAACAACCGGAGAGGAATAAAAATTTTAAGAAATTTAATGCCCAAAAGGACAAACACATTTAGATAATAACAATCCGGGTAAATATGGACATAAAATATGGGGTAGGATAGTAGTCGAAATTACAAACAGAACGAAAATTGAAAAACGATAGGAAACTAAAATACAGAAAGGTTTCCTTAGACAGTCCTTTGCTGAACGTGATCCTTTGAAAATTTACATAACTACCTACTATAAACAAATTTTAAAATTTGAATATCTCCATCATAACAAAAATTGATATTTTGGATATAAAACAAAAAAAGTGGCCCACACTTCCTTCTTTAAAGTATTGGGTGAAAGTTTGTTGGTGTTGAGTTTAAAAGTCTCCCCAGGGGCCAAGACGGGTGTTATGAGGGAAGAATGCCGACAATGTGTGGCCCAACAGAGAATTGAAAAGGAAAAAAATTTTAGTAGAAGAAATTGGATTTCCATGAAAAACTTTTGGTGTAGGTGGCAGCCCAAAAACTTAAAAGTGTGGGGGAGAGGCAGCGGCAATTGTCTGTGAAGTTGAGTAGAAGAAACAAAAGGGCAAACTTTTTAAAAATTTTTGTGTTGATTAGCTTACATACGACAAAAAAACTTTTGGATTGGAAAAAATAATAGGAAAAAGGATAATTTAGTTAATTAAGGAGAAAATAGATTATTCAAACATTATTATAAATTAATTGCCAAACTAACAGGAGAGAATAATTTTATTTTTAGATATTTGTCATTAGGGTTACAAAAATTGATCGAAAGGGTTTGAAATATCGAGTTGAGCATCGAGTTCGAATGGTCTGAGTATCTAAAATGAAAAAAGTGAATAAAAATGGCATTTAACTTTGGCCAGACTCGCAAATAACAGACCTGAATCTTCTTCACTATTCTTCATTTTCCGGTACCTCATTTAAATCAAAATGATAATTTTTCTTCTGTAAATTTGTACGATTTATGTTACTTTTGGTAATTTTCATTGGCTCTTCTAAAAAAGTTGATTTAGCTCACTCTTATTAGTAGGGATCGGATTTGTATTGAAATATATTTTTTTTTCCTAAATATATTATGTCAAGAGAAGCTCAAATATGCCATTAGTTTTTCGATATTATGATTTTGAACAAAGATACATTTCAATATATTTCAATATTTTGCCAATTTTCCAGTTATTTCCATATTTGACACATTTTTCAAATTATTTCATTATTTTTGCATTTTTTTACCAAAATTTAGGGATTTTTCATAAATTTTAGAAAAAAAGTGACGAAATCTAGCTTATTGACAAGCAAAATTGACAAAATTTTCGCCATCGGCGCTAAAAAGGGGATATTATGGCCTATTATTCGCTGCCGTCCACTAATTATTTCCCTGAAATTTCCCTTAATTTCACTGAAATTTCCCTAATTATTTCCCTTAATTGTCATTAATAAAATGAAAAAATGTTTTCACATTTTTTACGCTTATAATAATTTTGGGACGCATATATCCCTTCTCTAGAAATGGGATATCTCTAGAATTGCGCCCAAAATTTCCCAATTAACAGATAACTCAAAATGTGTAACTGAACAAAAATTCCCATAAAGCCCATCCCAAAATATTCCGCCATCAAAATGTCCCACTGGACATAACCCCCAAAATGGCACATTGAGCAAACCCCACAAAATTTCGCATCCTCATTTCGTCAAACTTAGGATGTCCAAGAGATTAAAAATAGCTAATACGTCGAACGATAAGTCTAGATTGCAATTTTAACAACGTGACTAACTTTTTTTGTTAAATTTCAACTTTTTTTGGGTTTTGGCTAGTGAATATACGAAAATTTATTTCAATATTTCACTAATTTTTGGCATTTTTTGTCAATATTTTGCCATTTTATTTCAATATTTTATGGCCATATTTTACGATTTTATTTCAATATAAATCCGATCCCTACTTATTAGATTCTTCCTCCCTTCTGGCGAATAATATTTTCTTCTTCAGGGGACTTCCCGAGGGACGGAGAGCATGATGTAAGAGACGTGGATCGATTCCAAGCGGTTAAGAACGCGTGACGTAGTATTAGAGAATACAAAAAATGATTCGAGAATATTTTTAACTATTAATTATAATCAGAACTGTTTCAAAAATAAAAAAAACGCAAAAATAAATTTAACAAAATTTGTGGAATTGCTCAATTATAAAATGTTACCAAAATAACCCAAGTCGCTCCACAAGAGATAATCATGTTACGGTACCATATCCACCACAAAATTTTGATACTTAAAAGATTGGTCAGCTAATAATTCCATCAGTTAGTAATGAATGAACAAGATTTTTGTTAAAAAAATTTGCCTTGATTCAATATCAGTATCTAACCTTCAATATAATAAATTGTAAGTAACTTTCATCGAGCATTATGGTTGATTATTTAATGATGAAAATTAAATCAAACTTAATTGGCTTAAAAAATAATGATTTAAAGTTGATTTATTCCTATATGCTTTGAAATTTGAATATGACACAAAGCAAAAAATTTAAAACAATTCCATTTCGAGGAACCCTGAATCATTCATTACTCGAACAAAATTGCTTAATACCTCTTGATAATTTCAAAAAATTTGGATTTTTTATAATTAAAACATTATGTTAA